ACATCAGCACGTGAACCAGCAACCAGAACAAAGACAGCTGACGTCAGACTTCGATACTGCTCCATTCATGGACCACAAGTGAAGCAAATTAATTCTCCGTAAGATTTTCGCTGGTCTCTGAGGGCCAGTCTTATGTCCACTGTCACACTGACGGACGGACTGACTGACTGACGGACTGACTGTCACTTGTGAGCAAATGAATGGCTACGGCTGGCAGTAAACACACGTGTTTACAGGAAGTGGCTGTCGCCGCTTTCATAGGCGCACGCGTAACCGCAAGCCGCAGCCAAGCGATCAACAAGGATTGCCTAGTTTTGCGTTTGTCACACCTGACAATATATATACAAGTAACACATTGAAGACCTTTGCCATGCTGCCACCATTCCAGTCATGTTCCCTGTATCCAATAACAGTACTGAATGATATGTTTTGTGCAAAAAGGAACCAGACTATTTTTCCTTCCAGCCTCGCTTTGGTTACGTTGATTTGAATGGGAAAAAATCAAGATGGCCGCAAAATGGTCTATTGAAGTGCAGAGCTGATTATGCCATGACGTCACTCTGAACGACATCGTACTCGTTTCCAACTCACGTCACCAAACCGCACATGTACAGTCTGTAAACAAGCCACGCGACGCGCCAAACTCCGTGACCCTGTCCCAATCCCTGCCCCTTCTCCAAACTGACAACGAAGGGAAAGACCGACAATCAGTGCCTTTCCTCCCATCTCAAGAGCGCCTGGGATTTGTTCCAAGTCGAGAAAAGCCCTCGTGATATGAACCAGAGGCTTTGCGTGGCGTCAGTCAGTATGGAGCGTGGAATATATTGGGCCTTAATGGTTTCCGCCAGACGTTCATTTCTTGACTGACAAGGTTTTTTATTTTAACAAAACGCAGGTAAAACTGAAATAATGTAATATAGTTACTCAATGCGACGTGCTGTTGGACATAGTCGATGTTTTTTTTTCTCCTAACGATCAAGTTTCAATTTGTATGCTTTATTTAAATGCATAGAGCTTTTCATTCCCATTTCCAATAATAACACCACTCGAAATCCAAAGAAGAATGTTCAAAACCTAACCTGTTGAAGTTTCAGCACATCACAATGGATATTTACACTTGTCGAGAAAACAGTGAAAATCCGTGCACAACCTTTTGATCACGAAACTCGAGTTCGAACTTCGTCTTTATATATGACTCCTTAACAAAAATCAGTCGAGTGATCGTTGAAAATCAACATTTCTTTATTTCTTCTAAATGACAGCAAGCCAGACGGAATAATTTCCCGGGGTGTTAAGATAGTACCAGTAAGATCTTTAATCCAAGTAAAGCTATTTGAAAAGTATTTGATATAGGCTACTTTTTGGATAAATACAAATTACCCAATATAATTTCCTCAACATAGTCTATATTTTTGTCCTTATCGAATTTCAATTGTATGCTTTAAACAAAAAAACCCTACTTTTTCCCGTTTTGAGCGTCGCAACGCTATGAACATACACGTTTATTGGGTTTCTTTTGCTCCGTAACGCAAAAAAGAGGCCTAGGTCTGAATTATTGCCGGGTCGCAAATAATTCAAAATTTGTGACGTAAGTATTATTCTATTACCAACGTGGGCAGATGTTTTTATTCGATGTCAAAGTTGAGCAACTTTTGTATCACTAGAAAAATAGGAGTTTATAGACGAATTGTAAGGTGTTTTTTATAGACGAATTGTAAGGTGTTTTTTTTTTTGTTACTCTGAAAAATAGTACAGGGAGAGCAACTGCATGTAAAGGCACGTAGGAACATTTGCAATTACCCGAAATTACCCAACGATTTGGCGAGAAATCCTTGCTCAAAGTGAAGACAGGACGGGTACCAAATACCTGTGAAATTATTCCGCCTGAAATGGTGTAAGTCGGAACATAAAGTCTATGGTTTAAGAAAATGTTCCCGCGGGCACAGTTTTTCTTTACCAGCGTTAGCAACGGAATTCAGTTACGAGAACCCAAAATCGTGCATGCTTTTTCCGTTTTTTCTAAATGCTTAGTATCCACTGAGCTGAAACTTCAACAAGTTGTTATGCGCCCTTTTTAAGATTTTGAGCAATATCGTTGCTTCAAATGAAAAACAAAATGCACAAAAAGCAAATGATCCTATATGTACATTCAAATCACGAGGAGAAATAGGCACAGATTATGATGCGTATACAGCTGACATGTGATTGACTAGGGACTTCGTGTGTCGGAAGGGAGTCGAAGTAGGCTGACTGAGCTAATTTCATTCAGCCATACAGATTATGTTCGTCTTAATCGAACATTTCTGAGCTTGATTCCCTTCGACCTTTCCAAACCATGTAAATGATTTGTTTGATATCAGCTTTCATTGTCTTGGGAACAATAGCTGGGGGCGTTACGGATGTCAAATGCCACGGATTTGTTGCCCCTGGTGGGAGATTGTCAAGTTTCGTTCCAAGGATGGCATCTATCAAGAGTCTTCCTGTTCTCAACCTACAAACCGCTTCCCTTGTGCTCCAAATGTCATCATCGGGTATCTTTAGAATGGGAGCTCCGCGCAGCAGTACGTGCCCCACGTAGGCTACGATGAAGGGAAATCAATCGAATTAGACTTTAGCCAAATTAGCTTGCCTTATCACATTGCGGTTGCATCGCAACTTGTTCTTACAGGTTTAGAGAAATAGAAACATGGGAACGTTTAAGATAGTGTTCAAAGAAAGATGACAACCTATTTTGTAATATTTTTGCGTTTCAGTAATTTATTGAGACTTGGCACATAAACATAAACAATCTTTCCCTTGTGCTCCGCCCATAAAAACACCCTTTCCTGTTGTGACGTCACCAGCAGAGTAACTTACAGAGTGCCCATCCTGATAATGTTCAGAGCCGTGTATGGAGAGAGAGTCGCTATAGACAAGGAAATAATTATAGTAGTCAGAGAGTGCACAAAATAATATTTAACTGATTTAGAGAGGCTATTCACTGGGAGGTTTGCTACACATCTGGTCTACACAATGGGACAGATTTAGTCGATTCATTGTCAATCATTGACATTATTTGGTAATCCTACAAGATAGCACTGCCAGACTCTCTTCATCTGATCTGATTTGGTTTGATTTGATTTAATTTGATTTGATGTGATTTATTTCAATTCATCATAATTATAACAATGAACATTTCAAATTAACGGACTTTACGACAAACATGACTGATTCACAGGCGACAGTAAGTGTGTCACTCACTCAACGAGACAAAATAGTCCCTTGAAAAATAATAAAATATTATTGTCACAACGATTGGGGGGGGGGGGGGGGGGTTCAGTGTCAGGCACGTAATGAACTCAGTAAAGAAACAACATTGCTTATATCATTCACTTGGTTTTACAAAGTCTGCCGAGAAACCTTCTTGAGTCTTGACGTTCCCACATTCTATCTCAATTTATTTATTTTAATTCAGCTGTTTCCTGGTGTCGGGCATTCTGACAGTTGCCTTTTGTCATTCGTCGCGTTACGAATCGGTCCAGTAGTCTGAGGCACTAGATCACAGTCAATGTGAATTTTCCGAGACGCGAGTTGGCCAAATACACCCATAATAGCCTGTCACTGGGAAGAAATCATGTTAAATTAATCCTGAAGTCCCATAATTGTTCAAAGTACCCTCTAGTGGTCCGTTGTTACTCTCTAGTCAGCGTCTGTTTCCCAGACCAACAGATTCCGACTATCCTGGCATCTTAAGTCAGGTTAGTCTAAGATTCAGACATTCATATGTGCAGAGCCCAGAGACTAATGTCGGGTAGCCGCCGCGGCTTAAAATATACATGACCAAAGCAAGGCCGAATCCAGAACACAATGGGGGGGGGGGGGGGGGGGCAAAAAAAATTCCCGAAAATGTGGGTACAAAGATTTTCCGCCCCAAATTTATATGAAAAGCAAGGGGAGGGGTGCAAATCTATTGCTTTTGCTGAGTTTTGTGGGTGGTGTACGCAATGGCTGCCTTTTTGCGACGTTACTAAAAAAAAAAACATACACCGAAAGAAAACAGATTTCCCATAGACTTTGCATAAAACCAAACTTGGAAGAAGATAGTCTTTCCCAAACACAGCTTAGGTACATACACCATACATCAGACTTGGATGAATTGTCAGAATATCATACCTCCTGAAAATACTAAAATTAAGGCAATAAACACCAAAATTTGCCAGTGAAGGCCTTCATATTCCACAACGTCACTTGACGTATATTTACAATACAGTGGTACAAATAAACATTGCTCTGTTTTCAGCTACAGCTCTTCGTATTTGTAAATCTTACTGAGTAATTCATATTACAAAAAATTTATTTCCAAAAAAAGCTAGATTTGAAACAGAAAGGTTTCCTTAAAATGGCAGTGTAGCCTGGAAGCTTGCATAAATCTGTGGAGAGATGATGAAGAAATGTTCAGAGATGGGAGATTATTATGCGGAAACCACATCAGTCTCAGAGGGGTGTGAACCAGGGGTCACCAAGTTGGAAGCAAGGAAATAAAAGTACATCAACCCAACTTACAGGCATGCAACTGGGAAGTAACCAAAACATGAGGATATTCCAAGCTTTATAAGATTTATACAGCGTTTTGTCAATTTCTAATGGCGTAAGTGTGAAGTCAAAAATGAGGAACTCAGTTAATCTGAGGGAAAAAATGCACGCTTTAACTTTGTGGCTACTCATTGAAGTCATTTATTTACATATAGTCATTGTCAGGCGACAAGAAATACAGTAAAATAGCAAAGACATTTTCAGATGTGTTCTGGAAAAGCCACAAATTTGAAGGGAAAAAATGGGATGTGAAGCAGAGACCTTTGGTATACCATGCCGAGTTAACTGAAGGGCTTTCACACTATGGACTCCCCTGCCCGTGTTCAAATCAACACTGGTCCACAGTAAGTGGAACCAGGGCCCATGGTAGGCAAGGCATGCCACTCACACTTACAACAATGTGTACACCGGTATCTTTTTTGTTGTTGATGCAAATCGCCCATCACAAGGCCAAAGGCCACTCGGCTACAGAGGAAAATGTGGAAGAACCAGCCCCTCACACTAAAACAAGACAAGATAATCTAATCTCTTCACAGTATGAATAGGGTTGGCCTCTATCCATATTAGGCATAAAGTGTCATTGCCCAGGCTGGGCTCAAACCAACAACCTGCAGAAATACCGCAGACCACGAATTCAATGCCCTATATCACTAGGCTTTGGCACTCCACATATTTAAGATTTTCTACCCAGGTGGAGCTTCTAGACCATCGTCCCAACCAGGGTTGGATTTTGTGTAGAGCGCTAGCTGGACCAGTGTAGAAGCTGCATTGGATTTTTGCTAGAATGAAAGGGGTTCCCGATATCTCCGTGTTGGACCAGTGTCCAGTGTGCATTATAGACAGTGTGCAAGGCCCTTCAGTTGCTCCACAGTCACTAAATACCATTTTTTTCTTTGTTGGGATACCAGGTAGATATAATAATGATTAAGCTCAGATTACATGCAACAAGCCATAACTGTTTTGTTGAAAATATTACTTAATAAATTGCTACTTTCAAGCTGCATTTAGATTTAATACATATTATAAATTCATTTTAGGTGAATACTTGAACTTATTGACACTTGTTCGGTGGAGCACTGTGATCCAATATTTATAGCGTTTGACCCATGTGATGAGAAACATGGTGCTTGTGTTCTTGGGCAAGACACTTTACCACAATTGCCTCTCTCCAGGGGTATAAACTGGTACCTGTGAAGGTAGAGACCAGATTGTGCTGATCTCGAGTTTCTGCAGAAAACTAGTCTCATGGCCCGATAAACAGGGTTAATAATTAACGCTTTGTATCTTCTAGCAAAGGCGCTTTATAAATACCAGTGATTATAATTATTAATATTATTTTGTAATTCACTTATTTCATTACAGGAAGGCTCAGTTACTGAATTTCATTTTCTCTCCTTGGCTTTCTTCTTGCTTTCTTCTCGTCTTCTCTTGTTGATGGGGTTCCTTGGGTCGAAGATGCTGTAAGTGTCGGCATCCTTGATGTTCGCATCTTTCACTTGACTTGCGCTTATCTCGCACTTCAGAACGTGTGACATCCTGCAAAAAGTCGGCCAAAGTAAGCGCGTAATTTAAAACAGAAGTTTTAAATGCCCATCCGCGAGCTAATGACTAATAAATAGTAGCGATTGTGATGCAACATTCCAAAAACCCTTAACATGGAAAACATTTTTCATATTTTAGTTTTTATGTCACATAAGGTTGCATACTGGAAAATATATGCCGATTTTCAAGGTGCATTGTAATGGTTTTAGAGCTTGTTTTCTTTTTTTTCATGTCAGAACTCTCTAACCATTAATGAAAATAGTTACTGACAAAATATCTTTAAAAAAAATCTGCCAGGGGGCAAGGTGTCCCATGCCTCCCTCTGGATATGTCACTGGCCCCGCCCACTTTTAGTTTGTGTACATTTCCCCCAAAGGGTTGTGACCGAGTTTGACCGATCAACAATGATCACCCGACTAAAAAGTCAAGATCTAATTGGTCAATGCACACTGCTTGAATGACGGGCAGTAACGGTTCATTGATAAGAAGCTGCAGAAGAGTGGAAGCCAAAAAAAACCCCAAAAATATAATCACCATCCTGTCCCCATGATCTCTTCCTCTTCTTCATCGTCTTGAATCTCCTCATCAGCTCTAGTTTCTTCTTTCTTTTCTTCTTCCTCTTCATTGACCTGATGGAGACGGTTTTGGAACTTGGCAAGAATCGCTAGAGTCTGAAAATTGTACCAGAATATAAATAAAGTCAATGAACAACTCGAAGAGTTATCTGAATCTCATTTAAATTTTTTTGTTTTTGTTTTTTTTTTGTTTAAGTGCCGGAGGCATTTTACATCTGGTTCTTTCGGTACAGGTTGAGTCATGTAAACTTTAACATCATGAAGTAATGAGATGTTCTATAAATTTGAGGTCCCTTTTTTTATCCTGTCCCTGTTACATCTGACATCTGTGACTATTTTCTGATACACTTATTCATGCAGTCAACTACCTACCCAACAAATAAAACAAATTTGAGATCATTCTTAATTAGATTTGAATAGGAAATTACAAAGTACCAAGGTAACAGGAACAGGGACAAATGCCACGCTTCGGATCCTGAATTTACAAAATGACCCTAAGGCCTGGCTTAGGCTGGTGAAGCATCAGCGCTGTCTGTGTCTAAATAAATCACAACGAGGCTGTCCTCGCCAGACATTTGGGTTCTTCAAGAGATGATGATGATCCGATCTGATCCGTCCAATCTGGATGGGGTCTATTTCTGGTTCTTCCTCTGATTAATTCCACGTGCACCCCTCGCTAAGTCTCCCGGCAATCACTGCCGGGACCTTACAGGGTTCACGAGGTCCCTCAGGGAGACAAGCAGATACTAATCCACTCTGGCATTAAAGGAAGGACCTGGGACCCGTTTAATAGCTTCCTTTTTTTTTTCTTCTGGGGTTCAACCTTTTGTTTCGAGAGAAACGACAAGGATTACATTTCAATTCGAAATGAAATTTGAAGCTTAGCAGGGGTGGGAAACTAATACTGAAATTGGAGTACTCTGAGCAAAAAAAAAATTGCGGCAATTTCTTTTTGCAATTAAGGAATTATTAGAGAGGTGGAGTCTGGGGTGTCCATTTTCTGTTGTTACTCATAATCATTTCCACTCCTTTGCAAAAGCCTCCAGCGAACAGGTTGCTGAGGTTGCATGCTGTACATACACAAAACTTTGCAAAGGCACTGTTACACCAAAGGTAACACAACAGACGTAACAGCTGGGTCATTTTGTGAATTAAGGGTCCAAACTGTGACAATTTTCTTGTTGTGCAAGATACCTCCCTCGGAACTTTGTAATTTACCATTCAAGTTTCATTAAGAATGACTTCAAGTTATTATTTGAGTATTTGTTGGGTAGGTAATTTGCTTCAAATAATCGCTCTTGGAGGATGACTGCATTTAAGGAGTGCATCCAAAATTATAAAACATATCTGTCATAGATTTAACAGGGATTGGAAAAAAGTGGACCCCAAATTTACAGAAAGACCGCCTCTCAGATTTTACTTCATTTTCCTTCAGAGTGTAATTTCCTTTAGAGAGTAATAGTTTCACATTGTAAATTTGAGTCGAATTTTGAAGTTTTCTTTGTTGGAAAAACAAGTGTGCCTTATCTGAAATCTGAAAAAAATGCCATGCCCTAACAATTTTTTCTTGCTTTGTTAATTGCATGCTTGTACATGTATTGGGATATTCATTGTTAGATCCCTATAGACACCTTGCACAACTACCCCCTCAATGATGACAGAGTCTGGCAGACCACTGGCAGACCACATTAACCCTAGGCATTTTTGCTAGGATGCAACCTGAATCCTTCAAAATCCTCCAACTGCCTCCATGTAGAATTGCATACAGCCTCAATCCTCCAAAATCATGTTATTTCTTGAATGTGGTCCTTGGAGGGGTGACCACTGCCTCAATCCTGCAAAATTCTCCAGCAATCACTGTCAATAATGTTGAGGCACAGACAGTGACATCCTGGAGCAGTGCGGAGGATTTCGAGTATATTCTAGGCCAAAATTTATGCACCTCTGAGCGGCTGAGTAATACAAACTTTGACAAAGTTTGATGATCCAAAAAAAAAAAAATATTTATTGAACATAAAAATTAAAAGCAGATATGGCGCTCTTTAATATCGGTGAAATTTTTTTTGTAAATGGAAAGTTTGCTCTTCTTGTTTGGGAACTGACCCTGAGGTGATTGTGTAGGCTTAGGCAAAAAACTGGTACCCAGTGGGAATAGCTGGTGCCCAGAATAGGAACTGCTCATTAAGACGGCTTAGTCGTCTTTTTTTTTTGGCCATGACAAAGATTGGTGATCCCCAGTCTGGTCACGATCAGGCTGAGTCAATGCCAAGTTTGAAGGTCTCGGGGTATCTGAAAAAAAAGGGGGGGGGGGGGAGATAGAGGAGGTTTTTTAGGATGATGGGTCCAGGATGACATCATTCTGGAGTCAGTGTGACGAAGCCGAGGAGATAGGGTCTTCCCAAGAGGGTAGTGTTATCACTCACCAGCCAGCTGCAAAGTTGCTGCTATCAGTTAAAATTGTCCCTTGTTTCAGGGGTGGCCGTGATGGGCCAACGCTTCACCCCCGTGGGAATACCGAGGGGTAATCCCTAAAACTCCTAATTGGCTTTTTGGAGGCAAGCCAGCTCTCTAAAAGGGGTTGTGTACTTTCTGCCCTCTCCTCAATAAGTTAAACACAATATATACGCGTGACCACATGCGGTGACCCCAATTTATACAATCACAAATAAATTGCTAGGTCAGTGGCATCTTGCTGGGGAGAAATTTTTCATGGGAGAAGGAAATGAGGAAATGTTTGGGTCAGTGACTGGGCATTTGTATGAAATGTGTGTGAACTGTATACATGGATAGCTATGCCGTTTGTATGGGCCTTATTCACGAGTCGGCCATATTGAATTGAAAGTTAGGTAAAATCTTAATATTTTGAACTTGCGAAGAGAAATGAAAGCAACTTACTTTATAATCAATTCCAGTCTGCCTCAATTACTAAATTAGAATTTGTAATTATAAAACATTCCCTAATGTTTAAAGCTATATTTAAAATAAGGCTGCATTGTGCCTGCATAAATAGTCTGGCACCATCCCACTCAACAGTTAACAATTTATGAAATACATTCAGGGAACTCGACAAAAATGGCCAACTCGTGAATAAGGCCTCTTTGTTAAATTTAATTGACACATTAAAGAGCCAAAAATGCCATCAGGCCTCTCCTCTTTTGTTTTCTTTCTCATGTTTTTGTCGGTAGTAATTGGAGAAGGGTTTCAACCAATCTTTTGCTAAGCAGCTGCAAAAAAGGCCTAACGGTCATTCTTATCATGTGATTATGCAGCCCTCGTTGGGTAATGCATGGAGTCTGTTACTGACATTGCCTGATGAGCTGTAAGTTTAATGGTTAACACTTGTGTTAGTGTAACACTGTAACTTATGTTACCAATTTAACCGTTAACACTTGTGTTACAGTGTAACTTGTGTTACACAAATGTAACCATTAACACTTGTGTTACATTGTAACTTGTGGTACAAATTTAACCATTAAACTTGTTACACTGTAACTTGTTTCACAAATTTAACCGTTAAAGGGAATATACATCATTTGCTTTTGCTGTAATTTTCAGAAATGGGTGGAATTGGGGGGTCGGAAATATAAAGCAAATATAGTTACACTAACTTTTTGGAGGTTTTGGGTTCGAAAATGCTATAAAAACCAAGAAAAACGATCATTTTCCTGTAGTCTGGTTCCCTGACTCCATATAAGAAGAAACAGAGCAGTTTACATACATTGGGGGAATTGTAAGGTCAGGGAACCAGTCTAGCTGGCTCGTACCCGTTTATAGGTTTGTAATCGATTGCAAACAAGTGCAATGGTCAATTGGGGCCAGTATTTGATAAAAAGCCAGTTGTTTCCAACGCTGATCGGCCGATCAGCGTTGGAAATTGATACAAAAATACCACTTTTCTTGAAAATGACAGTATACCAGGTGCCATAATTTTACAGGATGCTTTAGACTGTCATTTACCAACATCCTGTTAAGGTATTTCGCAAAAACTTGATAGTTTTATTTTTCGTTGTTTGCAAATGTTGTATATTCCCTTTAACACTTGTGTTACACTGTAACTTGTTTCACAAATTTAACCATTAACACTAGTGTTACACTGTAACTTGTGTTCCAAATTTAACCATTAACACTTGTGTTACACTGTAACTTGTGTTCCAAATTTAACCATTAATGTTACACTGTAACTTGTGTTCCAAATTTAACCATTTACACTTGTGTTACACTGTAACTTGTGTTACAAATTTAACCATTAACACTTTTGTTATCGCACTGTATTTACCCCTTGATGATTAACCATTTAACAGGTGTAAGTAGGGAGGCTTTGGTTAACCATTAACACTTTTGTTACACTGTAACTTGTGTTCCAAATTTAACCATTAACACTTGTGTTACACTGTAACTTGTGTTACAATTTTAACCATTAACACTTTTTTTATCACACTGTATTAACTCCTTCATTATGAACCATTTAACAGGTGTAAGTAGGGAGGTTTTGGGCAGCGCAGGAACTCATCAATTATATTGGGTATTAAAAACAACAACTTGGTTTTCACTATGCTAGACCAAGAAATCCACTAAAGCCAGGTACTGCTCCACAACAAACATGGGTCATTTTATCTATAAGCCTCCAAATGACATAACGAGGCGGCGTAATGAAGGGTTTCCCCAACTCCGACACTCAGAGCCACCTACAGCTTCCTCTTGGATGAGCCAATACTGGCCAGGGGAGTTTGTAAGCACACGGAAATGGAATGATGACGAATGTAAGTCCCTATTACGTGTAGCATCGTCCTGGCAGGTTGATTCTAAAAGCGGAATTGGGGATAGCCATTAATTTAGTACGTCTGGGGCTATCAGTCAGAGACGGAAATGAAATGCTGACAAATGGTCGTTGGGTGTTAATAAGGCAGGGAGGTGTGTGTGGCTGTGTGGTTAGGTTTTGAGTCTTGTAGGTAGTGAAAGTTTAGAATTTCCGTCTTTCCTAACTTATGCTCTGATTCAGTAAAAGAACAATGTACGGTCTACATGACTTGTATGGTATATGTTTGTATTCATAAGATGGAATTTGCGTTGGGGTGATGTAAATCAATATTAGGTTT